TTGATTTGGTCATGGCAAGCTTTTTATTATATGAATACTGGTTTATATTTATATACTAAATTTTGTAATGTGATGCGTATTTCTGTTCAATAAAATTGTTTATTATTTGAAACGCGAATTGTCTTTCTTTGTAATTTTCTTTGTAATAAAGATACAATAATGGAATTTTTTTTTCTATAAAATGCTTATTTAAAACAAACCATGAATTGTCTTTATAAAAATCATATAATTGTTGATTTTTGCAAATAAAAAAAATTCAACTTTATTATATTAAACTTCTAAACTTATTTATGTCAAATGAAATCGGTCAAAGACAAATTATTATTAATCAGAATCTAAAAGTGTGTTTTAGCTTCTTGGATTGTATTATTCAATTATACAAATAATTAACATTGTTGAAAAAAAAGAATAGCAAATGTAGTTTGGCTTAAAATAAATTGAATCTGTTAGAATCTAAGAATGCGCTTGGATTTTTGATAGCCCACTAGGTTGTATTATAAGAATTTTAGCATGGTAAATGGATAAAATGAGTGCGTGAGAATAAAAACCTGTAACTTACTATAATAAGTTATTAAATACAGTTGCAGGTTTTTACTCTCACACATGCAAATATAATTTGATCAAATGAATAATTATTTTAAGTGTTTTGGAAAAAAGAGTAGCAAATGAAATTTCAAATTCCCTTTCCAATAACCTATAATTGTGAGTATTGTTTAATAAATCTTGACGTATATAGCACTTACAATTATAGTAATTCAAGAGTCTCTAGTGATTATATTAAAGGTTTTTAATTACTCAATTAGAAATTATTACAATATACTTCTATATTTATATCTCAATATAAAATATTAAAAAAGATAATTTATAGATATAAATTTGGAAAGTATGCAGTAATAACTTCTAATGAATGGGTATAAAAAATCTTTAACATATCGATATGCATTAATGATCATCTAAATAATTAGGTATTGAAGCTAACAATTCCTATAACATAACACAGAAATTCAATAAATATTCTAGCTAGGCTATGTTGAGATATTTTCATACTTTCCATATCTGTACCAACAAAAAAAATATAATATTGACTGTGTTCAAACAATAAACATCTAAATATAATTCAAAAATAATAATTAACATTATAACGTTATGATGGATCTCAAAATTCGAATAATAAAATCTTTAACAAACTCTTCAAGTTCCTTTTCAGTAGTATACTTAACTAGTTTTAGTTGTATTGGTTAAATGCAGTAAAAAAATATATAATTCTATATATGGAATTTTTGTTTAATATAGACCTATTATTATTAATAATTAACCACAATTAAACAATTAAAAAATATTCTACATGTCCAAATCTTGCAATTGCGAATGTTATTATAATAACATTCACAATTGCAAAATTTAAATGTTTATTATTGCATGATTTAAAAATAGGAATTGGATCCAAAGCAGCCATATTGTATAATAAATTACCCTGATAACTCGGACAATTTAATAATACTGAGTAGTAATTTTCTCAAAATGCCTAATCTCTATTTTAAAATCACGAAAAATTATATAAAGTCATTATTTTTTTTTCTTTCATAAATTTACTTACATTTAATATCATCATTATTAACATGTCGACATCACCTTATTTAATTGCTGACTCTTCTGAAGAACTCTTCCACAAAGATGTCCAATGTTCTCTTCAAAAAACAGAAAAGCATGCTGAACCTAATAATTCCAAAGGAAAACAATTAAAAAAACAGAAGTTTGAGTTGGTTCATAAATATCTTGATGAGCTTAGTGATGAGTTCGAAACTTCTGATCTTTGCAAGAGATGCAGAACTGAATATAAAGAGGATTCATCAGTTTTAACTACAATATACCATCTTGATATAAAATATTCACATCCTTATAATGACCCTTTACAAGCCAATAAATCCTTCTTTTATTCAACTATTGAACAGCACTGTGTTGAGTCTTTGAATTACGATTTAATACGATGGATTGTTATTAACAAACAACCATTTTCAATAATTAAAGAGGAGTCTTTTATAAGATTTGTCTCAAATCTTAATCCATATTACAAGATTTCTTGCTGCCAAGTCTTCTTCACAAATATAAAAAAATCTTTTGACTTGGCAAAAGTAAAAATTAAAGAAATCTTAAAAGCCAATGAAAAAAAATTAGCACTCACCTTAAATATTTGGACCGCACATACATAACAACCTTTTCTTGTAATTATCGTCAATTGGGTTGATACTAAGTGAACAAAAAAGACTCTTCTTCTTGACTCTATTCCTTTGCCTGAAGCCTATACAGAAAAATATATTGGTGAAAAAATTCTTGAGATCGTTAAAAATATGGGAATAAAAAGACAAATTATTAGCTTCACAAGTGACAACATAGTAAATAATTTGATATGTCTAAGTTTTCTTCAAAGAACCATAAGTTCTGACCTTAAGCATGTGTGCTGCGCTGCAAATATTATTAATCTCGTTGCTGAAGCCAGTCAAAAAAAATACTTTAACAAATTAAGAAAGCTTAGCATTTTTGTAATAAAATAAATTTACATTCAGTTCTGAAGAAAATGAAAAGAATTTCCGCCATTCTAGAGCATCTGTTTCATCATCCCATAATTGATGTCGAGTCAAAATGGACTTCCACCTTTTCGATAATTGAGAGGCTCTACCAAATCCAATCTGTTACTGACAGTCTTATTCTATCTTGTCTGAATTTAAAAAATAATTACTTAAATGTTGAGGATTGGGTAATCATAGAAGAAATGGTACAGATTCTTAAACCTTTTCACATAGCAGCTTTAGTTCTTTTAAGTGCTTCACAACCTTCCCATGGGTCTTTACGATTAATTATTTTAAGCCTCTCAATGTATTTGAATTAATATACTTTGATTAGTACACATGGTGAAGCTGAAAAAGAAATGAAGGTAAAGTTACAAGAACACTGGACTTATCTTTCAAGATCTTCTGTTATTTCTACTTTACTTGACCTGTCAACTAAGTTAGAAACATTTTATGAAACTGATCATAAATTGGCCACTAATCAATTGAAAACTCTTTATTCAGCATATAAAACAAATAATTCAAAAATAGTTACTAGGCCTATAGACCAATTAGAAACTTTTAGACAACTTATGAAATTAAATGAAAACAAAAAGGAAAGTGAGACGAAAATAGATAAGCTAGAAGCTTACTTTTCTCTGCTACATGTACCAGGAACAGATCCATTATCGTGGTAGAAAGTAAATAGACAATGTTTTCCAATAGTTTCTTCTATTGCGGCGGACTATTTGACTCTGGAAGCTATGAATATTTCTTGTGAACATGTTTTTTTCAGAATAAAGGAAACTATTAATCTTAATATTGCTAGTGGTAGTCTTGGAGAAACAGTCAAAGCTTCATTACTCCTAAAAAGCTGGTTCAAGAAAGGAGTTATTGAATAAAAATACCCATATATTGATATACAGTATATATCGATATAAAGTTTTTTTTTTATTATCATTATCATTATCTTTGTACAACATAAATAAAATATATCATATGTATTAAATTTTATAAGTAGCTACTAGTGCATACATACCCATAAAAATAAAAGTATTTAATTAGCAAACCAAATTTCTAGTGTTGTTACCTTGTAAATACACCTTTAATTAAACATTTTGTGTTTATAAAATTACAAAATGTTGAATATTACGGAAGGAATAGCGAAGAAACAAGGTGACTTTTCTATAGTTTTTACTATTGCGTGCAGATCTTAAAAATTTTTACTATAAAAAAATTGAATTAATGATTTTCACTATACACCTGCACTATGTTTGTAAATATACTTGCATTCCATACCCCAATAGTATATCGAACACCCTAGCGTAATGTCATGTTGGGTGTCCATAGTAATATAGTAACACAAATGTATTGTCAAAAATCATTTTGTTTAATTTTGATTAGAATTTGTTGAAATTACACCTTACACTCCAGCTTACCTACTCACTCACTCAAAAATAAATGTCTTATCGTTATCAATCTAAAAAAGTTAGTTGGTCAATCAGTTTTCAATATCATGTGGTACACAGAAGAAACGTGAAAATTAAACCAAACCAAAAAATCATTCATAACTCAACATTTTATCTATGAAATCATCATCTGCGTATTGTTAAAATTTTTTCTTGCGAAAGTTTAATACTTTCTAACCTAAATTTATAGCAAATCTAACACTAATCTAGCAGCGAAATTTTTTAGATTGGTATTGCTAGGACAGTTCTCAAGAATCACAGCCTCATAATGCAAACATTTCGTCCCACATAATACCATTAAGAAGCGAATTCCAAGTGTGATAACGGTTGGAAATTACCATTTGTGTACTAATAAAAATTTTTATTTGCAAAATGCTTGCAAAATTTTTAAGTTGATAAGGCTAGGGTCAAGTTATAAAACTTACAATGTAAGTTGATTGTAAGCTGCTGCTTTGTCAGTTAACACACCCAACTTTGACAATCATTGTATTTATTAATAAAAAGTAATCCATATATGTTAATAAAAATAAAAAAAAGAAAGAATATTGCTATTTAACACTAGTAGCGATATCATTTTATCTCAAAAACCTACTAACAAACACATGTCGGGGGTACTAAATAAAAATGTTCAGAATCCCCCAAATAACCCTAATTAAAATTTGAACTTTTATATCTAACCCTAACCTTAACTAAATTTGAACCTTTTTATAATTTTATTCGTTTTTTTTAATTATATATTTAAGAATAGTGGGTACTATTTTAAAATTATATATAAACTTGATGTTATCTAACCCTACCTTCATCTAAAATTGCACCTAACACTAGTGTTCCGCAAAATCAAGTCAAAATTTGAATTTGAATCAAATATTGATTTGATTTTGCAGAACACTACCTAACCCTAAATTTGATAAAAGAATAAGAAGCCACAGGAGATAAATACTAAATTGGAAAAGTAAATATGTCATAAAATGATAAATTGTGGGGTTTACTCTAAAATATCGATTGTATCGATGGGTTTACTCATTAGAGACGAGTTTATGTTTGTGCTAATTATTTGTAACGTATTATCACTTTCTAAAAATAGCCTTTTAATTTCATTTTCCTCATTCAAACTTGACATTTCTTCGATCCAAAGTCCAACTTGAAAATTAACAGATTTTGCAGTTGCTCTGTTTTTAGGATTTGGATCCAGACATCTCTTGGCTAATTTAACGTAGCAGTCAGGTGTTCCAGGAACAAATTCTAACCTTTCAAAAGCTTGTTTTCCGGTCGATATTTCCGTCATAATAACGCCAAGACTATAAACATCAGCTGCTGGTGTAAACATTTTATGATCTAGTAAAACTTCTGGAGCGATGTAATGTTCAACACCGAATTTTTTACTCGTTTTAGAAAGTCCTAAATCAGCGATATACGCGCTACATAAATCGTCTTGTAAAATATTACCACTATGTAAATCTCGATGTTCGAGTCCTTGAGAATGGATAGCTACAAGATCGAAAGTTATGCAAAATAATAATTTCAATTTATCTTTCCATTTCATTTTCGCTATAGAATTAAGATTCTTATTTAAAGAACCCATTTTTGCATATTTTAAAACAAGGATATATTTTCCAGTTTCATCTCTTGATATACCATGGCATTTTAAAAATGAAGGATTCTCGTATCCGATTTCACAATACGCTTTCAGCTTTAAGAAAATATATTAATAAAGTAATATAATAATAATAATAATAATAATAAAAGTTGGTAAAAATTACAATAAAATACCTCGTCTAAATAATTTTGATCATGAATTTTTTTAAGCGCGAATGTAGTATCTTCACTATATTCTTTAGTTTTTCTTATCCATCTTGCACTATATACAGTTGCAAAATTACCCTGTCCGATTTCTTTGATATTTTTAAATTCATTATAAGGAATCCATGTTAATTTATATCTATTATCATCTAATAATTTTTTCACAACATCATTAATATCAAATTTTTCATGCGTTGATTTAATCGTTTCGTGAGAATTGTTTCTTTCCATTTGAAACCAATGATTAGCCTTTTGCATATTTATTTGTGTTCCGATTCCGTTCCGATAACAATATCCAAGTTGTCTCATTGCAATATTATTTCCCATTTCTGCCGATTTTTTAAAATATTCGAGTGCTTTATGTTCATCCTTTTCAATTCCAGTTCCTTTTTCATAACAATCTCCAACATTATACATTCCGTTATTGTTTCCCATCTCAGCAGATTTTTGATAATAAATGAATGCCTTATGTTCATCCTTTTCAACTCCAATTCCATATTGATAACAATATCCAACATTATTTATCCCTTTAGCATTCCCCATATCAGCAGATTTTTGGTAATAAATAAATGCCTTATGTTCATCCTTTTTAACCCCAATTCCATCTTTATAACAGTTACCAAGTGCAAACATTCCATCAGAATCTCCCGTCTCAGCAGATTTTTGATAATAAATGAATGCCTTATGTTCATCCTTTTCAACTCCAATTCCATTGAGATAATTATATCCCATCTTATTCAAGTTAGATGCATTTTCTTGATTCATTTTTTTTTAAGACGGCATGAAAAAACGAGAAACCGGATTTGTGCTACGTATAATACGTACGTACATACATAAAATATTTTTTAACTTCACGTTACATTGAACTAATTTAAGATTCGTGTAACTAACACTATTGAGTTGGTTTTACTTACGTATGTACATAGTTAATTGTTGATCTGTAATTGAAGCGCATTCCCTTTATAGTTTATAGAATGTCTAATTTTCCAATGTTATTTTGACTAAAATTTAATTGAGATGAAGTTAAGAATCACTTCGAAATGATTGAGAAAAATCACGATCACTAGCAAATCACTTAGCAAATTACATTAAAGGAATTAATTTAACTGGTTAGTATATCAATTATTTAAAATTTGTACTTATTACTCAAAAAATTGCATTGACGTAAATGCGGTTATATTGTAATTGCCTTGACTTTATATTTTATCCATTCATATTGCTAATTCACTTTTAACGATTATATTTCGCATACTACATTGCTATTATTACATTTTATTGATTATCATGTATGAATTAAATTCTTCATTTGTGATATTCCGGAGGTCTTATTTTGAAATTAAACTTGCCCGTCGAAATTATCGTTATGTTATTGCTAAAATTTCAAAGTTGCATTTGATTTGCATTCGTTTATCCATTTAAATTATTGATATCAAGAATTCAAATTTTTATAAACCATTAAAAGATTCCATATTTAGATCTAAGTTTATTCAAAAATTTAAGAGAGTGATATTAATCTCTGTAATTTAACATCATGCGACATTTAAGCAGTAATGATTACAAATGCCAAGAATGCTATTGAAGATATAATAACTAGTGATTATAATATTTCCTTGCAAAGCAACGATTTCAACAACTCAACTATAAATAAAAGTACTTAATTATTGAATCATCCATTACACGTCTATTTGTATCTTCATACACAATTGTCGTTTGCCTCTTTCGTAAGTAGTTCAGGTGTAGCAGCAGTGATTATATACTGCATATTTTCATTATATTTTCATTTTTTAGATTATTAATATGATCTCTACAAATTTCTTCGAAAGTTTAACATGAAAGTTGAAATGAAAGTAGAAAACTGTGCATTCAAAATAAGATTATGAACGATACATAACGAAGCTACTTTATTAGACGGTTAAATTTGACTTAAATCCGGTTTAATCAGCATAAAATTTTAAGAACATTACTAATTTGCCCTTTGGTTAACATAACACATTATTATTATAACTCAAGCCGATTTAAATAACCATGCTTGACTGGATATTCAGTATACAATGTAAATCAAAACTATATGTGGTCATATAATAAAATTTTTTTTTTAGTACAATAATTCTTGCCCTAACGACTCGATAGTTTTTGAATAAAATTTCGCGAAGACCAGTATTACATTCTTGCAAACTAAGCTATAGTGCCGTTTCGTTTAAAAAGAAACTAAATTAATTCCTTTGTTCATGTCTTTTTTTAAAGAACAAAATATAATATATTGATCCAATTGTTTTCATGCTTAAATAAAAGAAATGGCATTCTAGCTTTGTTTGTAAGGATGTAACATTGGTCTTCACGAAATTTAATCCAGAACTATCGAGCTATTAGAGCTATGTATCTATTTAAATTTTGCCTATCGATCTATTGATCTCTATCTAAAAAAAGTTCATTAATAAATTTTATTATATGACTACATATAATTTTAATTTACATAGCCCCTAATGTTTGACGCACCAATTAAAAATGTTCAGCACTATAAAAAACCTTCCTTAACTCAAACCCAATTCTAATTGACTCTATTATTAATATTAATTCTAATTTTAATTTACAATTTGAGTAAAAATTTATAATAAATTATGAGGTGGTTAGAAAATTATAATTTAACCCGGGTTAAAATTAGGTAAATTCAATTTTTAATAAATTTCTAACGCTAATGCTAATTCAAATTTAAGTAACATCTAAAGTCAAAACAGTCGAATATAAATCGGTAGTTTATTCAACAATTCCTTATTATCCATATGAATAACAAATTACTTGCATAATCATTCTAAAAATCAGGAACTATGAACGTGATACTAGACTCGAATTAATAAACTAAGTATAGTGACGAACTTTCTAATATCTGTAAAAATAGTACGTACAAAATTATCATATGCAGTCTATTTCAAAGTAGTGTTAGCATCGAAATGATGCAGCGATGCTCTGTTTGCTAATCTGTTCGAAGGTATTGTAACAATAATAAACACAGCCAGTCTTAACTATTACAAATAAATAGAAAAAAACCTCTATATAAGCACCAGCTCTTATGATCCAGACGGTGTGATTATAGGGAGGTTAGACTGTACTTAAGTTGTTTAAATGAAGAATATGCAATAGAACTGTGAAGAGAAAACTACTATAGAATCAGAAAATTTTGAAATTATATCTATCAAGGATTCATAAATATCGAATGCAACAGTAAGCTTAAACTTTGGATGCATTTGAAACTGATGAGTTGATGGATTTACATGCAAGTGCTTAGTCTTTGTTAAATCTTCCATTATTTTTACAACAAAGAAAAATTGCATAAAATTACTGGATGACGGCACAAAAACTTAGTGCAAACATTTACTAGCGATACATTAAAAATAGCTTCGATTAATAAAAATTTATGTCGCAATTTTTGCGAAATACCAAGTTTTTGAGCCTATTGTCTGTTAAGCATTTCCTGGTATCACCAGTTTATTGTTATCCATTATTACCATTTTCAAATTTAATACTAATTACACGACTTAAATTTTAATATCAATAGTCGTAAGAATGGCTACGTTACTAAATAATATCACATTGTAAAAATATATCAGTACGTCTTTTCAACAAGATATAATTAATAACATAATTATTGCTACATCAATAAGATGTATTAATATTTATAAGATCTTATACACGTATGTATAGTACTTATTTTTCATATTTTTACATATATGCACATATAAACTTCAATATATTTTATATTATTAATAAATAATGAAAATTATGAATCTTCACACACGCCATTTTAGATGAGAGTTAACCACGTATCTCTCGCTATAGTCATTGTATTTTTCTGGTAGACAAAAATTCTTGAATTTATTGGTTAAAAATTGTTTGAATCAATCAGATTTAAAATTTAATTGACTGGGTTCTGTTTATACATGCCGCCAAACTACAAGTCTTTAAAATCCCACCATTCCAAATCCCATGCGGAACAATCCCAAACCCCATCCAATGTCCCAAATTCTATTCCAAACACAAATCTCCAATTTTTGATCCTAAATTCTCAATCCAAAAAGATGTACTTTGTACAAAATAAACCTAATATATATTTAACATATCGATGTTTCATGCAAGATTATAGTTAAATTATATGATATCGTGCTAGTTATTTGAAATTTCATTTTATAATTATTATGTTTGAGAGTTACTTCGTTATAACGAGGTATCTGCTATAACGAGGGTAAACTGTATATGTTTTTAATTTATAAATTTTGTATATAAAATTCTTTATACAAATTTTTTCATATTAGGGTTACTATTTAGGATTGGGTACAGATATATAGAATATTTTACTTAAGACATCGTGCACCAATTCAACAATTATTTATCTAGTTTTTGAGATAATATATTGTGAGGTCCAATAACGTGACGTAAATACTTTGCCGGGACCTCACGTGAGAACGGGTACGACGTACAGGAGAGAACGTCCCAAATATGGAAATGATTCCGATGTTAGTTACACAAATGCAT